AAAACAAGGGAAATAAATTGGGAGCAAAAAAGGCAGGTAACGAGGGAGGACAGGTGGGGCAAAATAACTAATAATCAGGAAACAAGATGGGAGTCGACACAATGACAGGAAAGCACATATGGCACAACAAACACATGACAAGCACAAGCCATGTGCTCATACCAAACATGACAAAAACACATGACCAATAAAACAAATTAAAAAGCAATTGTGCTCACACAAAATGAGACCTGAAGAACGATGAGAACACTCATAAGACACGTGTTCACACAGAACATGACAACATGAAAGCACACAGCTAGTTTAAAACACAAGCTACACAGCACAAGACAAAACATGACATGAAAGCACGCGGCCGATGTAAACACAAACCATGTGCTACACAATACACAACACACTGAACAGAGCGAACACGACAAGACAGAACGCTAACGTTACGCATGAGTACGACCATCATCCTGTGCACTCACAACCGAAAACAAACACGCGGAGAATGCATGTCCGAATCCCAACACAAAAGTGAAACCAAACTAGACAGATGTGCCGTGATTCAAACACCACGCCCGCACATGTAACAAGACACCTGACATCGACGGAAGAAATGTGGGAATTAGGTTGAACTGTGAAATATCTGATGAAAATTGCAAATACTAAGAAATATGTTACAGTAGTTCGTCTTTCGAGTAAAATACACACAAAATTCGCGACGAGACTGAGCACGAAGTCTTTAAACTAGCTTCCGCGTCAGCGATTTTTTTATTGGGTGAAATCACTGTCAATCAAAAGGAGATGCAATCCTCCAATCATCACGCGGACGCCCGGACGCCAGGCCAGCCCACTTCCCTATTAACCCCAGAGACGCCCGGCGTCCGTGGGCGGGACATAATCGCAGCATTTATCCAATGACCGTCTAGTTTAACAGCGCTGAAAAAAACTGTTCAAAGCAGCCCCATTGAAGTCAATGGACGCCGAGCTTCAACGGGGAAATGCCATAGGAAAACGCATGCACTGTGACGCGCTACAGGAGGCGCTGCATGAGAAGGAGATCAAGTCAGCCGACTCGAACTCGTCTTCGAGATTACCGTGTTCTAACGCATTTTTACTCATTAAAATGTTAACACAATAGTACACATTTGATCATTATTTGTTTGACATTATAGGGGAAGCTGAGCTTCCCTTGCAGTCTTAAAGAAATCTCCACTGCTATCTATCTATCTATCTATCTATCTATCTATCTATCTATCTATCTATCTATCCATGCATCCATCCATAAATCCATCCATCCATCCATCCATCTATCCATCTATCCATCCATCCATCCATAAATCCATCCACCTATCCATCCATCCATCTATCCATCCATCCCGTCCGTCCGTCTACAGTATCCATCCATCTGTCTGTCTGTCTATCTATCTATCTATCTATCTATCTATCTATCTATCTATCTATCTATCTATCCATGCATCCATCCATCCATCCATCTATCCATCCATCCATCCATAAATCCATCCATCTATCCATCCATCCCCGTCCGTCCGTCTACAGTATCCATCTATCCATCCATCCATCCATAAATCCATCCATCCATCCATAAATCCATCCATCCATAAATCCATCCGTCCATCCTTCCATCCATAATCCATCCATCCATAAATCCATCCATCCATCCATCCATAAATCCATCCATCCATCTATCCATAAATCCATCCATCCATAAATCCATCCGTCCATCCTTCCATCCATAATCCATCCATCCATAAATCCATCCATCCATCAATCCATCCATCCATCCATCCATCCATCCATCCATCCCCGTCCGTCCGTCCGTCTACAGTATCTATCTATCTATCTATCTATCTATCTATCTATCTATCTATCTATCTATCTATCTATCTATCTATCTATACATCTATACATCTATCCATCTGTTTATCTGTCTGTCCGTCCGTCTGTCCGTCCATCCGTCCACAGTATCCATCCTTCCTTCCTTCCATCCATCCATCCATCTTATTTATTTTTTAATAGCCCTATCGCTTTCAATGAAGGTGTTTGTGAAGCAGCACAAACCCCATGATGCCCTTCGCCTGTTTCTGTCCTGTTTTCACCTGAAAGCACTGACTGCACTCCTATTGTCTCTTTTGCTCTCTTAACATTTTACGAACGCAAATTTAAGTAATTTATTTTATAAACGTATTTATTTCTATAGGCCCCTTTAGACATTCTACTAACTATAGGTAATTTTGCAACAACATGTCAACTAACTATTAGTGTATTAGTTGACTGTTAGGTCTCGGGTTAGTGGAATAAGTTGACTTGTATTTGTAAAGTTACTTTTAGTCAGTAGAAGGAGCATCACTGTAATAAAGAGTTAGCAGATATTAACCACAGTGTACTAATACTTTAATGAGAGTTAGTTGACACACAGTTGCAAAGTTACCTATAGTTATAGCATGTCTAAAGGGGACTATTGAAATACAGTGTTCCCTGAACGTCAGGGCTGATCTCTGTGTGTGTCTCAGGTCTGTTTAATCAGGTGTCGTCGGCGGGCGACACGTGTGATCAGAGGCAGTTGGGTCTCCTGCTGCATGATGTCATCCAGATCCCGAGACAGCTGGGAGAAGTGGCGGCCTTCGGCGGGAGCAACATCGAACCCAGCGTCCGCAGCTGCTTCCAGCATGTACGTGAACACACACACACACACTTGTGTGTTATTCAGTTGTGAATGATTGAAGTCGTCTGCTGGTGATGTCCTCACTCCAGATGTGTGTGTGTGTGTGTGTGTGTTAATGCTGTTTGTATATCAATATGAGGTGCAGCAATTCTCAGCCTTTGACTCGAATGCCACCAACACATTATTTGACATACTATTAATATATATTAATGCACCACGATTTATTTTGTGTCAGTCTGTCTGTCTCTCAGTCTGTCTGTCTCACTGTCTGTCTCTCAGTCTGTCTGTCTCTCAGTCTGTCTGTCTGTCTCACAGTCTGTCTGTCTGTCTGTCTGTCAATTCAATTCAATTCAATTCAAATTGCTTTATTGGCATGACTGTACATATTACAATATTGCCAAAGCTTGTAACACATAGCATAGTGAAAACATCAATAAAAACAAAGTATTATAACAACTTAAATTGAAATGTACAAATTAAATTAATTGCAAAAAATAACAGTGTAACAGATTATAAATTCTGTGAACGTTTGATACCACAGTGTTTTAACATACACACACATACACACATTACTGAGGGTCACTGTGGTGGACATTAGGGAAACACACTGAGGTCACACACACACACATTCACCTACTGTCTCTCAGGCTGTGGCACGCACACACGTATCTGGCAGTCAGTGCTGTGGTCTGTCCCTCTCCTAGTATTATCTTTATCTGCTCTACTTCAGTCATGGTTGTAAAGTTGTGTATTAAGTTATTAAGTTTTTTGAAGTAGATGTCTCTGATGGAGCTGTATTTGTGGCAGTGGAGGAGGAAGTGTGTCTCTGTTTCGATCTCTCCTGTGCTACACTGAACACACACCCTTTGCTCTCGGGGTAGCCAGCTCTTTCTGTGTCTGCCGGTCTCGATGGCTAGACTGTGTTCACTCAGCCTGTACTTGCTCAGGATCTGTCTCTGCTTTGTGTCTCTCACACTCTGGAGATATTCCTCCATTTCATAATTTGATTTCAGATTTCGATAGAATTGTAGTTTACTTTGTGTTTTGGTTTCCTGATCCCAATGTTCCAGATATGTATTTTTAGACTGTTTAGTAATTTGGTTTATTCTGATGTGTGTGTGAGGAGCAGTGCTGGTCTGAGACTGGTGAGTGTTAGTACGGTTAGTCGGGTTAGTGAGTTTCAGGACCAGCTGACTGAGAAGACTCTTTTCGGGGTTCAGTTCTTGGGTCTGTAATGCTTTAAAATGTAGCGATTCTGTGGGACTCTGTGGACTGTCTCTCAGTCTCTCAGTCTGTCTGTCTGTCTGTCTGTCTGTCTCTCAGTCTGTCTGTCTGTCTGTCTCTTAGTCTGTCTCTCAGCCTGTCTGTCTGTGTCTCAGTCTGTCTGTTTCTGTCTGTGTCTCAGTCTGTCTGTCTTTCAGTCTGTCTGTCTGTCTCTCAGTCTGTCTGTCTCTCAGTCTGTCTGTCTGTCTCTCAGTCTGTCTGTCTCTCAGTCTGTCTGTCTGTCTCTCAGTCTGTCTGTCTGTCTGTCTCTCAGTCTGTCTGTCTCTCAGTCTGTCTGTCTCTCAGTGTGTCTGTCTGTCTCTCAGTGTGTCTGTCTGTCTCTCAGTCTGTCTGTCTCTTAGTCTGTCTGTCTGTCTCTCAGTCTGTCTGTCTCTCAGTCTGTCTGTCTCTCAGTGTGTCTGTCTGTCTCTCAGTCTGTCTGTCTCTTAGTCTGTCTGTCTCTTAGTCTGTCTCGCAGCCTGTCTGTCTCTCTCTCAGTCTGTCTGTTTCTGTCTGTCTCTCAGTCAGTCTGTCTCTCAGTCTGTCTGTCTGTCTGTCTCTCAGTCTGTCTGTCTGTCTCTTAGTCTGTCTCTCTCTCAGTCTGTCTGTTTCTGTCTGTCTGTCTCTCAGTCTGTCTGTTTCTGTCTGTCTGTCTCTCAGTCTGTCTGTTTCTGTCTGTCTGTCTCTCAGTCTGTCTGTCTGTCTCTCAGTCAGTCTGTCTCTCAGTCTGTCTGTCTGTCTGTCTCTCAGTCAGTCTGTCTGTCTCTTAGTCTGTCTCTCTCTCAGTCTGTCTGTTTCTGTCTGTCTGTCTCTCAGTCTGTCTGTCTGTCTCTCAGTCTGTCTGTCTCTCAGTCTGTCTGTCTGTCTCTCGGTCTGTCTGTTTCTGTCTGTCTGTCTCTCAGTCTGTTTGTCTGTGTCTCGGTCTGTCTGTCTCTTAGTCTGTCTGTCTCTCAGTCTGTCTGTTTCTGTCTGTCTGTCTCTCAGTCAGTCTGTCTGTTTCTGTCTGTCTGTCTCTCAGTCTGTCTGTCTGTCTCTCGGTCTGTCTGTCTCTCGGTCTGTCTGTCTCTCAGTCTGTCTGTCTCTGTCTGTCTGTCTCTCAGTCTGTCTGTCTCAGTCTGTCTGTCGCGGTCTGTCAGTATGGTTTGATTGCACTCAGTGTCAAGTCTGAAGTGTTTTGAAGAGAGGGAAAATGTCATTTATAAATGAGTGAGGAGGACGAGGTCCAATCAGAACTGACAGACAGGAGGAGACAGACAGAAAAACAGCTCTGGGGATGAAGGAATGAAAGCTAGTGTGAAGTTTAGAGGAGGCCGGATTGCAGAGCGACATTTCAGATGAAAGCTGAGAGAGTATATAAACAACGTTTGTTTTGTACGTCTGAAATATGAAAGTGTGTTTACCACAGAGTGCAAATAATTACAGGAACGTTCCAGGTTCAAAACCAGCTCCACGGACGCATCTGACGCACACCACAAACCAAACATAATACAAACAAACAAAAATCTGGTTTACAGTAGTGCATTTACAAGGGAATACACAACCAGGATAAACACTGAAACACAGGCTGTTTTAGAAGTAACCTGTGATTATGTTAAAGTGATAAAGTAAAGTTCTTCTGCACAACACATTGGTATTGAGAAATAAATAAATAAAAGTAAATAATGACAAAATTGTCATTTTGTCAAGTTATTTATCCCTTTAATGTGATACAAGTATTAATAAACCATGTCTGTGTGAAATTTTAACTTCATGACCTCAGTAAACCCTGTAACTTTGACATGACATGTGCAGTAATACCAGAAAGAGTCTACATATAATTCAAGTACGCTGGAGTTATATCAGGAATCATGCCTGAACATGTTCCCACCACTAAAATGATGATTTACAAGCTTTAAATCTCAAATATTATATATATTTATTCCGAAAATATATTAGAGACTCTTTAAAAACACACCATACTGCTTTTAAACCCTTCAGAATGTCTTGCCTCATTGACGTCCATTGTAGTTTCATTAGTTGTTTGTTAAACTTGTTTCCTTTAATAGTGTCGCAGATTCTGTCCATTCCACTGAACTTGTATTGCCCCTGGTTTACAGAGAAGCTACTGATTTAGCTGATACTCCAGTACCCGCGACAGGGTGACATCACTGAATGCTCGTTCTTGACTGAAATATTAATGAGGCTGTTATATCTCTATAAAAGCAGCCGTGCGATTGACAGTCATTTATGGTGGTCTGGTAGGAAGTGTTCTCCCTTTCAGTCAGGCTGTGTTTCTGAAATGCCTCTCCCTCATTGGCTGTGTCCTCAGGTGCCCAATAAGGTGGAGCTGGAGCCGAGGCAGTTTGTGGACTGGATGAGGCTGGAGCCGCAGTCGATGGTCTGGCTGCCGGTCCTGCACAGAGTGGCTGCGGCAGAGACGGCCAAACACCAGGCCAAGTGCAATATCTGTAAAGAGTTCCCCATTGTGGGCTTCAGGTACACACACACACTCACACACACACATTTATGTAAGTAGATATCACCTTGTAGTGGTTAATTTTGATTTGTGGAATACTTGATTCTGATTGGTCAGTAACGGCATCCAGTGGTAACTGATTCCCAGATAGCAACCGCTGAAACAGAAACACAGGCGTGCCCGCAGCGCTATACACTTGATTCTTCACCGAAGTGCTGTGTAATAAGGGGTGTGACTGTATACCGTATCTCTTAAACGAGTAGTTCACTTTTAAAAAAAACTTTTGCTGATGATTTCCTCACCCCCATGTCATCCAAGATGTCCGTGTCTTTCTTTCTTCAGTCGGAAAGAAATGAAGGTTTTTGATGAAAACATTCCAGGATTTTCTCCATATAATGGACTTCAATGGGAACCAAACGGTTCAAGGTCCAAATGAGAGTTTCAGTGCAAACTGTTCAAAGGGCTTTAAACGATTCCAGATGATGAATAAGGGTCTTATCAAGCGAAACGATCGCTCATTTAATAAATAAATAAATAACAAAGTTGAAGTTTTATAAGCTCAAATGCTCGCCTTGCTCTGTTCTGTGTGACTCTCCTGTTCAAACTCGTTCATCAAAATGAACGAATCTTTTTTCGAGTCAATTTGTTCATTCCGTTCGTTGAATGAACCAAATGACTCGAAAAAATATTTGTTCATTTTGATGAACGAGTTCGAACAGGAGAGTCACGAACGCGAATCGTGACTCTCCTGTTCAAAAATATCAAAATGAACGAATCTTTTTTCGAGTCATGACTCAAAGGGTCCTTGATAAGACCCTTATTCATCGTCTGGAATCGTTTAAAGCCCTTTGAACAGTTTGCACTGAAACTGTCTTTTGGACCTTGAACCGTTTGGTTCCCATTGAAGTCCATTATACGGAGAAAATCCTGGAATGTTTTCATCAAAAACCTTCATTTCTTTTCGACTGAAGAAAGAAAGACGTGGACATCTTGGATGACACGGGGGTGAGGAAATTATCAGCAAAAGTTTTTTTAAAAGTGAACTACTCTTTTAAATGTATAGTTTTGCTCTCTCTGGAGAAGCTATTCTAATAAAATAACTCAAAGATCAATATTTCGTGTGTAATTATTTACAGATGTGGCAAGAAGCCGTGTAATAAGCGGGATAATGTACGTCCAGCTGGTTGTTATTGCAGAATAAACCCCTTCAGGCTGATTTAGACACATTGGATACATTACATTAACACATTACACACATTACATAATCTCTGTACATTAGGTAGAAAAGTAAGACCGGTTCTTGCATCAGTGCGACAGATTTGAGTAGACGGCGATTCTCCCTCAGTGTGAGAAGTGTGTGTCCAGTGCTTCTCCAACCACAATTAAACACACCTGAATCAGCCAATCAGTGTCTTACTAGAGGCGTCCAGGCGTGTGTGTGTGTGTGTGTGTGAGGCGAGCAGGACAGTGGCCCTCCAGGACCGAGTTTGGACTCGTCAAAGCCTGATATCAAGCAGATCTGGGAGAGATTTAAGACACACACACACATATGGGTGCGCGCAGTGCTGTCTGGGAGCACAAAGGTTAGATTCACTCCTGAGGATGTAAATGTCAGCATCAGATAGCACTTTAAATAAGAGAGAGAGACTGTTCTCTGATCAGCTGTAGGATAGGCCTGTCAGTGTCATAGTCCACTTCACTCTGTGTGTCAGTGACAGGACGGGTGACGTTCAATATTACATGCAGTGTGTACAAAACATCTCATGATCAAATCCTGTTCAACTGAGGTTTTAAATATTATAGTAATAATACTAATCAAATTGGATTTCTTGGTTTGTAGATGTATATTAGTACTAGCCATATTTTAATTTGTAATTTCACTGAAACAAGCGACATTTTTGCTTCACCTTTGTGAATTTTCTTCTGCGATAGACTGTATAGCAGTCAATGGTAATGCATTCTTAATGGCCAATTTGATTATGAATAAATTAATTAATATATATATATATATATTTTTTTTAAATCCAGTTCGTATAAAATCATCTTAGATTTTAATATCCAATGTAGTAATAATAACATGCTTGGTATTAAACTGATTATAATTTATAGTTTTGCACACAGCAACCTCATAGATAAATGGTGAAAAACAGGGTCAATTTATTTATTATCGTTCATCAGTAAAAATAAATATAATTATATATCTTTTTTATTATGTAAAAGCATTATATATAATAATTTAGAAATTAAAATGTATAACTAATTAATGTATTAATAAACTTTTAAAACCTCCCATTTGCAGTCTTTGTATGGAAGCTAGCTACTGTATAAGCAAAACTCACTGCAGTGAATAATAATTATAGCTAAACGTTTTTATTATGTTGTGAAATATGAATAATATCATGTTTTTTTCTTTGCTTTAAAATTTATGGACAGCATTATTATCAGAAGTATGCACATGTACAGCACCATAAATCCATGCTGATCAATGTTAATAAAGGTGTGTGTGTGTGTGTGTGTGGGTTCGCCATCACGCGCCTCCATGCTGTATTTTAAACAGACACTGTGTGCTCTTGTCACAATAGGTGGTGACCTTTTCAAATGTCATGCACACATACATTATTCCCATGTATTACTGATAATGCTGCCATATTTATAAGCTTTGGCTCCGTCTCTCTGACAGCCTCCTCCATCTCTCGAGGACTGACCGCATCCGAGTCCAGTGGGAGATTCAGAGGAGACGCGCGGCAGGTTTTGTCAGTGATAGATAGCAGAGAAGACCAAGCTGAACGAGAGAGACACACAGAAAAATAAAGTCTGAGTCAGTCAACCTGGATTTATTCCGAAAAATCCTGCGGCACATTGATGAATTCACTTGCAAAGCCATCCACATGTCATTAATTGTTTATTTGTTAAAGCAGTAATCCTAAAGAGATTTACCCATCGTTCCTTATAGAAAAAAACATTTTAAAAAAATATAGAGCAAAAACATTTCCACCATGTAACATTAAAGGATTAGTTCACTTTTAAAAAAACTTTTGCTGATAATTTACTCACCCCCATGTCATCCAAGATGTCCATGTCTTTCTTTCTTCAGTCGAAAAGAAATGAAGGTTTTTGATGAAAACATTCCAGCATTATTCTCCATATAATGGACTTCAATGGGAACCAAACGGTTCAAGGTCCAAATGAGAGTTTTAAAAAGAAACAAATCTTTTTTCGTGTCATTTGGTTCATTCAACGAAAGAAATGAACGAATTGACTCGGGTAAAGATTCGTTCATTTTGATGAACGCGTTCGAACAGGAGAGTCACACAGAACAAAGCAAGGCGAGCATTTGAGCTTATAAAACTTAAACTTTGTTATTTATTTATTAAATGAGCGATCGTTTCGCTTGATAAGACCCTTATTCATCGTCTGGTGTCGTTTAAAGCCCTTTGAACAGTTTGCACTGAAACTGTCTTTTGGACCTTGAACCGTTTGGTTCCCATTGAAGTCCATTATATGGAGAAAATCCTGGAATGTTTTCAGCAAAAACCTTCATTTCTTTTCGACTGAAGAAAGAAAGACGTGGACATCTTGGATGACATGGGGGTGAGGAAATTATCAGCAAAAGTTTTTTTTTTTAAAGTGAACTACTCCTTAAAGGCGAGACACGGCAGGCAAAAGCAGTTTTTTTTTTTCTCCACTGGTCAATTTTGAGATTTTGGGCTATTTCTATTCAATAACATGTCATCTTTCAGACTTGTGCTGAAAAAAAGTCCAAGATACACATTTAGGTCTTTATTTTCCTACACTTTATCTCTTTGCGTGTGTAGATTTCACCTAAATTCCTCAAAAGTTGTCATTGTAAATCATCCCGCTGCTCCGTGATCGCGATCCGCACCCTGTCATCACACACACCGTTAGAAAGCTCTCTCTCTCTCCTCTCCAATGCTGTCGGATCCAAATATGGTCATTTCCTGTTTATCAGCAACCAATCATGAAAGTAAAATGGGCCATTTAACTCAATGCGCAATCCTATAAAAATCTTTAAAGGCCGTTTTCTCAAAATGAGTTTTTTCTCAAACTTCTAGTGACGATTTTCCACTTCTGTAGCACACCAAACTTTACAGACGTATTCCTAACTATATTGTGAAGGTTTGTAAAGAGGGATTTGTTGATATATATCATCCTTGGCCTGATTTATATGTCATTTTAGGCCTAAAAATAGGGCGGAAATCAATTTTTTAAGACTATCGGCAGTATTTTCTGATTTACAGTGTAACCAAAGGAGATCTTCATAATCCCCTCAGAAAACGTCTTTTCATTGAATAAATCAACAAAATGCAAACATCATTTTGAACCTTGTTTTATTCAATGGTCAGATTCGTCATTTCAAAATATATGCACATTAGTGCATATTTAATTAGATATAGCCTGATTAGCATATTTAAACATTAAATTACAGAAAACTCGCAATACATTTTTTTCTCCTATCTATGCGAGTAATCAACTGGTAAAGTTTCATGGTGACATCTGTAAGTTACATTTTTTTATCCTATTCACCTGCAGTGTCTCGCCTTAAGACCAACTATCAACTGAGAGTCCTCTTTAAATGGTTTTATTTTGAATTTTCGTACGCGTTTCATGTGTTTTGTCCGTCATTAGAACTCAAAGGTTATAAAGTTTATATTATCTACATTGGTGGTCCTCAATTTTGTGTAATTTGGCCTAAATCTCATGTTATATAAGATGAATTGACTTCATCAAATTGTACTTTATAAGAGTTTTTTCTTACCCACATCACACAGCAAATGATATAAAACTATTTAATCCTTTATGCAGTGGCGCGGTGGAAGTATTGCACACTGAAGGAATTAGCATTTCCTGGAGAGAGCAGAAGGAACCAAAAACAAACAGCGCACTCGATTTACATTTATATGAAGAAAATCTGTTTAATAGAAATACTTTTAAACAGTGGTGTTATTGAATCAAGCGTGACGTGGCTGGAGTTAATGAATATTCCCGAGAGGACTGAAGAATTCAATAACGAGTGGATTATAGTTTGATTATGGGCTGTTTCGGAACTAAGGATCTCAATTAAGGTCTCATCACGACAGATTCACGCTGCTTTTCCGCACAATGAAAACATGTTATCTTGTAGTAAGTGTTTTCTTTCCCTCTTTGCAGATATCGCAGTTTGAAGCACTTCAACTATGACGTTTGCCAGAGTTGTTTCTTCTCCGGTCGCACGGCGAAGGGTCATAAACTCAACTACCCAATGGTGGAGTACTGCACACCGGTGAGTTAGTCTCTCTCAACCCGCCACTTTAAAGGAGTAGTTCACTTTTCAAAAAACTTTTGCTGATAATTTCCTCACCCCCATGTCATCCAAGATGTCCACGTCTTTCTTTCTTCAGTCGAAAAGAAATGAAGGTTTTTGATGAAAACATTCCAGGATTTTCTCCGTATAATGGACTTCAATGGGAACCAAACGGTTCAAGGTCCAAATGAGAGTTTCAGTGCAAACTTGTTCATAGGGCTTTAAACGATTCCAGATGATGAATAAGGGTCTTATCAAGCGAAACGATCGCTCATTTAATAAATAAATAACAAAGTTTTTTTTTTATAAAGTTTTATAAGCTCAAATGCTCGCCTTGCTCTGTTCTGTGATGCGCGTTCGTGACTCTCCTGTTAGAACTTGTTCATCAAAATGAACAAATCTTTTTTCGTGTCATTTGGTTCATTCAACGAACGAAATGAACAAATTGACTCGAAAAAAGATTTGTTCATTTTGATGAACGAGTTTGAACAAGAGAGTCGCACAGAACAGAGCAAGGCGAGCATTTGAGCTTATATAACTTAAACTTTGTTATTTATTTATTAAATGAGCGATCGTTTCGCTTGATAAGACCCTTATTCATCATCTGGAGTCGTTTAAAGCCCTTTGAACAGTTTGCACTGAAACTCTCATTTGGACCTTGAACCGTTTGGTTCCCATTGAAGTCCATTATATGGAGAAAATCCTGGAATGTTTTCATCAAAAACCTTCATTTCTTTTCGACTGAAGAAAGAAAGACGTGGATCTGGGAGAGATTTGGATGACACGGGGGTGAGTAAATTATCAGCAAAAGTTTTTGTAAAAGTGAACTACTCCTTTAAGGCATGTGTAATGAAGCTCGCAAACTGGAGCTCATAAAAGAGTCATTTCGCATGAATGGGTTTTACAGTGGGCGTTCAGTAGTGGTAGAGCTACGGCTCTGTTACAATACCTAGTGAGCAGCTTTCCTAACTACTGCCTACATACACAGCTACCTTTAATACAAATATTTAAGTAAAAGGTACATTTTTATTTACGTAAAGGAATCCTGCAATGCTGCTTTTGAATCTTGGCTCTCGTAGGAGCTAAATACATGTAGGAACAGACTTCGCATCAGGAGCCCATCTATAGTTGTGAATTGTGTGGTTGGTGAACACGGATCGAGAGTAGGTTAGTTTCTCCTCCACCGTTGCTACAGGCGAGATGGAGAGCATTTGAAACTCAGGAGGCCTGATCTATTGGCACTAGTGAAGAAATGCTGCCTTTTTCATTAGTCATAAAGATTGTTGGAGGGTTGAGCTGACGGGACCACACCACAGGTCAGATAAATGAACCGTCATGTCATTCAAACCTGTTATTCTGGAGAAAGAACAAGGAGAGATTTTGAAGAATGTTCACGCTGCTCTTTTCCAATCAACGAAAGTTGTTAAAGTCACAATGAAACCGAAGCAGCAAAATATCTTTTCTCTCTTGTTGTGATGTACATTCAAGTATAATGCTTTATCAAAAAGGTCGGTTCTACGACGTCAGTTGTTGATTGGGTATTGAGATGTGGGTGTGGCAGTAAATATGAACGTGATTTTGTAGACGATGGAAAGAAAGGGGCGGGTTTAAGTGGACTAATTAACTGGAGAAGTTACCAGAGACACGTCTGACGATTTTACTAGAAGATCCAGTTGTGGCATTTTCATTAAACTTTGGTGTGAAAAATAATAAAATACATGTATGAATCATTCAAAATAAGCACTGCTATGCTGTTCAGCTTTCTTTAATGTGTAATGTTGCTGTCTGAGGTTGAAAAGCTTTGCAAAGTCCCTCCAAAGGGATTTATTCTCTTCTGAACTCCTGAAACGCCTCCATTGATGTCTTGGGGTTTCTCCCAGTAACGGACACGTCACAATATTCCTCATTTAAATAATTCCCGCCAAAGGCAAACGCGGAATAAAGGGGTGGGGCCTCGTATTGCGCTCAATATGGCGGATTAAGTCCCGCCTTCTAAATTAGAGCCAATCAGCGATTGGTAAGTCATCGCATCACTGCAGCCGTTAGAAGCTCCGGTTCCTATAGAAACAGTCAGACGCGCTTCCGCTGCGCATTAGCATTAGCTTGATCTAGCCTGAACAATGTTGTTTTCTGTCATGATTCGAGCGTTTAGAAACGAAATGTATGAGACAGTTGTTTTCAGATTTCATTGGTGATTTCAAATATGAAATTTAATCGTAAGCTTGGCGAACAGTTTTGGAAAATTTTATATTTCCCCATTTCAAGGAGCTCCACTTGCTGCCTGAGAGGCGTTTCAAAGATGGCCGCCGAGGGAAATGACTTGTGTTAAAGAGACTTTGTTAGTAGTGTGTTGAAACTTGTAAGGGGCTCGAAGTGCTTGTCCAATCACAACACACTGATCCAGGAGACCAATCAGAGCACACTGTGCTTTACAGAAGGAGGCGGGAAGTAAACAGAGCGATACTGGCAGACTGGGAAGAGAGGAGGCGCAACAATGACAAATATGGGAAAAATAAAAGGTTTTTAAACATTCAAGCATGAAAACCTGTTCCAGTTGAGTCTAAAAAAAATCAAGTTCCACAGGCCCAAGAATATTGATCATGTGTGTCATATTACTTTCATAAAACCCGTTCCATAAACAAGTAGTTCATATCGAGTGACATTTCCAACCCAGTGTGGCCGGCTTTTTTATTTTTGCTTCACCAACAAAAATGGTTTACAGCGTTGCGATCTACCATTTTCCAAGATGTAAACAACACTGCACTTCCTGTTACATTTTTTAAACACTACAAAAAGCTGGGATAAAATACAACCAACAGAACATATAAATATAAATCAAAAACTTAAACAAACATCTTTAAGATTTTTTCTTTACATTTGAAATAAAGAAACCATTTACAAACTTAAACAGGAAGTGTTTCTGGACCAGTGTTGTTTAAATGGTCTATTAAACTACTGGGCCGGAACTAACTGTTATATAATAAGAGTGTGTGGACAGTGCAGAGCTAGAACCAGCAGACGCTGTTTAATACTTTCAGCCGGCTGATTTATTGTTTGTTTGTTTGGATCATCATCATCATCTTTGTCCTGTCATTTGTTGGCATTTTGTTTTTTGTTGGCATTCAAGGAGGTAGTTGTAATCCTGAATCCATCACTGCTGTCAGATCTCAACCACACACACACACACACACACACCAGCGTTTGTGAAATGTCCGGCTTCTTCATCTTGAATGAAAGAGAACGCCTTTAATTTCCTTTTAAACTGCACAAACACACATACACATGTCTATGAAACACATTTCATTGCGATTCAACAGCAAATATTGTCCTCAGAATTCAGAGAGCAGAAAATCAATATTGAACAGAATATGCTTTTTGTGGCCCTCAGTTGGGCTGTGACACTCTTATTGCTTTTCCATTGTGCTGATATTGCTTTTTGTTGCTTCGAGATGGTTTTTATTAGTTGTGTAGGTACAAAGAGTTTCTTTATCCCAGTGTCAGTCTAAATGAGTAATGTGCTGTGTTCACCTCGGGAACTTCACAGTCCTTTTAATAGGAAACTTCAAACTTCAGCTAAACATGAAAAACGCCATTTACCCTTATTTGTCTGATACATTTTCCTCCGTCGAAGTACACAATGTGTAAATGCATTCAAGAGTGGTTTATGGACGAGATTCATTCTTCTCAGGGTAATTTTGGTGTATCAAGCTCAAGAAAAGCAATGTTTTGTTTAGCAGTGGTTACAAACTCTCTCTCCGCCTCTCTGGACTCATTAGCCAAAAAAGAGACCACACAACATAACATAAGGTAATAGTGTAGTGGAAATTGGATATCGTGACAGCCGTAATTCAAAGTCGTCTGATAGCTGTATGACGTCAGAATCCAATTCGAATCATTATTTAATGAAAATATCAAAGCAGACTCGCAATTCTACATAAAACTATGTGCTTGGCATGCTTTTAAAGTCCCCTGCAGTCAATCTTTTTATCACTTAAAACTCATTTCTGATCACCAAAATCACACATTTAAACCTTTTTTTTTCTTCATGCCTTAAAATATCTTGAATGTAACTCGACACCCTTGCCTCATTTCGTATGTGTGGTTCTAGATGAGCCCCGCCTCCACTCACTCACTCAGAGAGCCACTGGTTAACAATCACACGTTGATCTGATTGGTTACAAGGTGGTTTGTGGCGTCAGAAACACCAGCGACTTCACACCGTGTTTTTGCAGGGTTTCAGCGGGGTCTTAAAAAGTCTGAAATTCTGAACTTAAAAAGGCCTTAAAAAGTCTTAAAAACGGCTAGATTTTCATCTGAGGTCTTAAATTTGATTTAGTCAGGTCTTAAAAAGATTTTACCCTCGTTCATTTGCCAAAACTCTGGCCGCAGAAAGTTATTACAAAGTAGCAAAAAAGTATTGAGTCGTAGCCTACGTACAAAGCGGAGCTCTAGAGCAGGGGTTCAAACCGGTTCGAACACGCCGCTCGCGTGCTAGCATTAGCTCGTGGTTTGATACGAGGTAGCTCGCCAAGAGGCCGTTCATACACCAGGTTTGCGCGCTCAAGTTCATTCAAATATAGGCGCGACGCATCCACAGCGAGATTGAAAAAATCTCACCATTTCAAATTCAGAATGCCGCAAACGAACCAACCAATCAGCCCCTTCCGTAACAACATTGAAAGCTCAGTCAACATGAAGGATCGCGGTGCACCCAAACACTACCGGTGTTTTTCTCTTCTCCGTGAATAAATCTTGTAGCAGAGCTAACGTTACAGCAAGCGTTTCTCGGTGGCGGAAATCCATTGGCTACTAAAATGTCTTTGTCGTTATGGAGAGCGCAGTGCATGGTTGCATAGCAACGACAGACGCAATAGGAAAATCGACCCAAATTTTACTATTAATAATAAAAGATAAGGGGATGTGAATGTCAGTAATTTATTTTTTTTGACTCAATCTTTTTATAAAAGATTATTTAAAGGCTGAAATACGTGAGGTTTATCTCTTTATGAAACAAGACTTTATTTTAACTAGACTTAACCTGTTGCAAGACACTCCTTTAAAATCTGGCCATCATTTTTAATGGTATTTTAATGTTTATGTAAACAAAAAGTGCATCTTGATGCTAATTTTATTTGCTGGGTTTAGACATACATTTGGTAAATTGATTTCATAGTAAACATGATATGAAGTGTTCATGCCATTTCATCTCTGGGTATGATCAACTAAAATCAACTATAATTGTGTTTTTTAAAATATAAAATGCAAAGTACAAATTTCACCTACACACACACACATTATATAAAATATTTTTTTTTTTCCCGAATATTTTCTTATTTAAATTTTTGGTAATGCGTCGTGTAGGTCTTAAATTTCAATGTTTATGGTCTTAAAATGTCTTAAAAAGGTCTTAAATTTGACTTAGTGAAACCTGAAGAAACCCTGTTTTGAGACTGTCTTTGGTTCACTGCAGTTTTAAGGAGGAAATACTCAGCAATGCTGTCCACTTATCAACTTACACATGGTTTAAGCGTATTAAAAACACCACATAGGCAATGATAATTTCTTAAGAGAAACACAAAACCAATGCCGCAATCATTGGTGTGTTGTTGATCCATCTTCTGCACCATGTTTACAGATAGAGAGATATTCCTCACACAAAAAGCTAAGAAAAAATGTATTCAAGTTGGTCTAGCTCACGTTCATTTATGTTCTTTTGTAAGAGAACCTAAATAAAAATGTAAAAGCAATTTGCAGTTGTAATTAAACAATGAGAGTGTCTTGTTTTCAGCCATGTTGAAAACACTCATAGTGTCGGATCTGGAGTTCATGGGTTCTGTTGGTCTGTGCGTTCAACAAGACAAACTGTTGGAGACACAATCCTTCTGTAATATATGGGCTGTCACAAGCTTGTTGTTCGGTTAGTCTTCTAGTCTGCAAGAGAAATAGGATTTGGTCAGCTAATATATGCAGATAAAGAAGTCTTTGTGCGTAGGAGACGTAGACACAGAAATCCTGGACTGAAACACCTCAGCTCGGCTCAGTAGACAAATGGAGGATCAGTGTGTGTGAGAGAAAATAGTACCACAGTTATGGGCTAATGAGCTCTATGTGCTCTCTTTATACTCTTACAAATAAAGGTTATTAAGATTATTCACACCAAGACAACAATGGTTCTTCAATGGCATCACTGCAAAAACTCAATGTTGAGTGTATAACCCTTGTCTGTTCATATTTCTTACACTTCTGCTGTTCATTTTTTGCCCTTCTAAATATAAATCAGTGTTTTTAGGTCAGAGATCCTGTATGTAGAAAACCTTCAGCTGCATTTCCCTTTTTTTAGCAAAAGTGTGTCACCTAATTATAGAATACATAAGTTATACCTTCTGAATGGTTTCCAGGGTTTTGTTGTGGTTGCTAGGGTGTTTGGGATGGTTTCTAAGTGGTTGGCCCAGACAAAAGACCCCAATGCCAAGTCTCTGTGACGTTGTGTGTGCAGTGGGACGTCTATGACAGTCAATGCCAGTCGTGACTGTTTGGTTTTCAACCTTGATAATAACAACAATGTTTGACTTCTGAAGGATCATGTGTAATGTAATGATGTTAGGATGTGAAAATGTATTTCTTCTACAATTTGTTTACCCAGACTTTTGAACAATCATTAGTAACTGTGCAATTTTGTTGGCTTTTATTTTGTAACTGCACTGGGACAGCAAGTGCTTAGACAAGAAGAAGAACCCGTACTGTAATTAACTTCAAAGTTTAGTGTGAAAGATTCAGAGTGAGACTACCAACGTCTACACAGCAAAGCTCAAACTGTATTGAATTGAAGTTGCTTTGAACAATTGTTAAAGGGATACTCCACTTTTTTTTGGAAATACGCTAATTTTACAACTCCCCCAGAGTTAAACTGTTCAGTTTTACCGTTTTTGAATCCATTGAGCCGATCTCCGGTTCTGGCGGTACTACTTTTAGCTTAGCTTAGCATACATCATTGAAGTGGACAAGACCATTAGCATTTCTCAAAAATGACCAAAGAGTTTCGATATTTTTCCTATTTAAATCTTGACTCTTCTGTAGTTACATCGTGTAGGCCGACGGAAAATGTAAAGTTGTGGTTTTCTAGGCTGATATGGCTAGGAACTATACTCTCATTCCTGCGTAATAATCAAGACACTTTACTGCCGTACCATGAGTGCAGCAGGCGTAATGATATGACGCAGCGCCAGAAAATAGGCTACCTTCCGTCAACGTAACTACACAAACTTAGTCCCGGTCATGTTGGAAGTTACCGGGACTATTTTACACCTGCTAATGGTCTTGTGCACTTCAATGATGTATGCTAAGCTATGCTAAAAGTGGTACCGCCAGAACCGGAGATCGGCTGAATGGATTAAAAAAACTCAATAGTTTAACTCTGGGGACAGACTGATCTTATGAAATGGCGTATGTATGACACGTCAATTCGTATTTCCATTTTTGGCGTGCTATCAACACGCATAGTTGCTTTTCAGCATGCTTATGAACGAGTTGACTTAACGTTATTACTGTATATATAAATATATGAGCTACCCCAACCCCGTCCCTAAACCTACCCGTCACTGGGGTTAATAGCATTTATGAGTCTTCCCCTACCATCCTAGGGAAAAAAATATCGCTCCCCAGATGTAGATCTACATTTTGCTTCGTTTCGCTCTGACATTTAACGGCGTGTACATACACGCGTAATCACTCGGACATTTAACGGCGTAGACATACACGCATACATGCGGATGGCTCAAAATGCGTATATAGATAACACGCCACTTGACTTGAAAGTGGCGTGTATGTTTACACAAAAGTCATAACGCCATGTTGCTGGGGGAGTTGTAGAATGAGCCTATTTACAAAAAAAAGTGAATAAAGTAAATTTCACTTTCACATCCATCATCTCTCTTCCTCTTCTTTTCAGACCACCTCAGGAGAAGACATGCGGGATTTCACCAAAGTCTTAAAAAACAAGTTCCGCTCAAAGAAGTATTTCGCGAAGCACCCTCGCCTGGGATACCTGCCCGTCCAGACGGTCCTGGAAGGAGACAACATGGAGACGTAAGCATCTTGAAGGAGAATCTAAGCATGTGATATCTGCAGTTGTTGTTGTTGTGATTGGTCTGTCCTCAGGCTGAGGTTTTCTGCCACCTCCAGTCATTAACTTTCTTCAGCGGAGAGCTTTTACAGCGTATCCACAGTGCAGGGTTGGAAGAACTATCGAGAAGTGTGTCAAATATTGTCGCTTCATAATGCAGATTTTCTGTCTGTATCTCTACCAAGCCTCTACTCTAAAGTTTCAAACTTTCTTCCAAAACCTAGACGGTGACTGCCTTCGTATAAGCCTTCTAAAAATGCGGTACATTAGCAAAATTTTGTTTGCAAAAAAGCTCCATTTTCCATAGTTGAGCTCACACAGAAGTCACTTTACGTTTTCAATTACATTTATTCATTTAGCTGACGCTTTTATCCAAAGCGAATTACAATTACTATATATGTCAGAGGTCACAACCCTCTGGAGCAACTAGGGGTTAAGTGTCTTGCTTGCTAAACGCTAAACAGGGACACTTTGGTGTCTCACAGTGGATTCGAACCCGGGTCTCTCACACCAAAGGCATGTGTCTTATCCACTGCGCCATCACCACCCCCCCACTTTCAAACCTGTCAGCTTTCTGTTGGTTCGTTGCATTATCTAACTTGTGCATGAGCGACATCTGTGTGGGTTTTGCAAATATTTAACCAATGAAAAGTATTGAAAAGAGCTTGTGACTAAACCTCGTAACTTAACTCTTAGCATGATTTTGTTGAGATCTTAAAAATACGAATAATAAGGTTACACTTTATTTTGATGGTTTGCTTTATTTCGATGGTTCGCTTTATTTCGATGGTTTGCTTTCGATGGTTCGCTTTATTTCGATGGTTCGCTTTCGATGGTTCGTTTTTATTTCGATGGTTCACTTTATTGCGATGGTTCTTTTTATTTCAGTGGTTCGCTTTATTTCGATCGTTTGCTTTCGATGGTTCGCTTTATTTCGATGGTTCGCTTTATTTCGATGGTTCGTTTTTATTTCGATGGTTCACTTTATTGCGATGGTTCTTTTTATTTCAGTGGTTCGCTTTATTTCGATGGTTTGCTTTCGATGGTTCGCTTTATTGCGATGGTTTGCTTTATTTCGATGGTTCGCTTTATTTCGATGGTTCGCTTTATTTCGATTGTTCGCTTTATTTCGATGGTTCGCTTTATTTCGATTGTTCGCTTTCGATTGTTCGCTTTATTTCGATTGTTCGCTTTCGATTGTTCGCTTTATTTGGATTTTCCGCGTTCGATGGTTCGCTTTATTTCGATGGTTCGCTTTCGATGGTTCGTTTTATTTCGATTGTTCGCTTTATTTCGATTGTTCGCTTTCGATTGTTCGCTTTATTTCGATTGTCCGCTTTCGATGGTTTGCTTTATTTCGATGGTTCGCTTTATTTCGATGGTTTGCTTTCGATGGTTCGCTTTATTTCGATCGTTTGCTTTCGATGGTTCGCTTTATTGCGATGGTTCTTTTTATTTCAGTGGTTCGCTTTATTTCGATGGTTCGCTTTTTTCGATCGTTCGCTTTATTTGGATTGTCCGCTTTCGATGGTTCGCTTTATTTCGATGGTTCGCTTTCGATTGTTCGCTTTATTTGTATTGTCCGCTTTCGATGGTTCGCTTTATTTCGATGGTTCGCTTTATTTCGATTGTCTGCTTTCGATGGTTCGCTTTATTTCGTGGTTCGCTTTATTTCGATGGTTCGCTTTCGATGGTTCGCTTTATTTGGATGGTTCGCTTTATTTCGATGGTTCGCTTTATTTCGATTGTTCGCTTTATTTCGATTGTTCGTTTTATTTGGATTGTCTGCTTTCAATGGTTCGCTTTATTTCGATGGTTCGCTTTATTTCGATGGTTCGCTTTATTTCGATGGTTCGCTTTATTTCGATTGTTCGTTTTATTTGGATTGTCTGCTTTCAATGGTTCGCTTTATTTCGATAGTTCGCTTTATTTCGATGGTTCGCTTTATTTCGATGGTTCGCTTTCGATTGTTCGCTTTATTTGGATTTTCCGCGTTCGATGGTTCGCTTTATTTCGATGGTTCGCTTTCGATGGTTCGCTTTATTTCGATGGTTCGCTTTCGATGGTTCGCTTTATTTCGATTGTTCGCTTTCGATTGTTCGCTTTATTTCGATTGTTCACTTTCGATGGTTCGCTTTATTTCGATGGTTCGCTTTCGATGGTTCGCTTTATTTCGATTGTTCACTTTCGATGGTTCGTTTTATTTCGATGGTTTGCTTTTTTCGATTGTTCGCTTTATTTGGATTGTCCGCTTTCGATGGTTCGCTTTATTTCGATGGTTCGCTTTCGATGGTTCGCTTTATTTCGATTGTTCACTTTCGATGGTTCGTTTTATTTCGATGGTTTGCTTTTTTCGATTGTTCGCTTTATTTGGATTGTCCGCTTTCGATGGTTCGCTTTATTTCGATGGTTCGCTTTCGATTGTTCGCTTTATTTGTATTGTCCGCTTTCGATGGTTCGCTTTATTTCGATGGTTCGCTTTATTTCGATTGTCTGCTTTCGATGGTTCGCTTTATTTCGTGGTTCGCTTTATTTCGATGGTTCGCTTTCGATGGTTCGTTTTATTTCGATGGTTCGCTTTATTTCGATGGTTCACTTTATTTCGATGGTTCGCCTCAGAACAGCTGGATCAGCCTCAGTGTAGTAACTACTGTACGATATCTTCAAAAGCAGCGCTACTGAGCCCTAGTGTGGCCAATTTAGGAAAGCAGAGGGTTACGCAGTTCCCACTTCTGCCTTATCTCCCGCCAGCTGTCGTTGATTAAGGCACTTCTGCTTTTCCAGTGGGACCATTTCATGAATTTGTGTCTGAAAGAGTCTTCTGCTAAATGGCAGGGAACGTCAGATGACCCATTTCTTCAGTTGGTGCTGATTATAAACCCCCACGAGCAGAGCCGCTGTGACATCAGAACATTTCATGTAACGTTTGATTTTCAGACATTCTGCGGTGTGCAAGAGCATCGCCACGTGTCAGATTTAACAAAGAGCGATGACCGCGGTTGAAATGAATTCAGAGCGGATTCCAAGAGCAAATTGAAACTGTACAGTTTTTGGTTTTCATGAAATTCAGAAGTGCCAGGGGATATTGACCGACTTTTAGTAGAGAGCTTGTGTTTGTCACTAATTCACAGAATCCAGCGCTCTCTACACAGTGATAACAGTTTAATCACACAGTTTAACAGCCTAGATAACCGGACTGCTTGACTTTTAACATGGCTCGCTCATATGTCTCCCTCTTCAGCCATTGTCCTGAAAGTCAACATAAAATCATAATGAATCCTTCTCAATACATTTGCAAGGCCAAACATATCATCAGTGATCATTATTCCAGACAAAAGTGCAGAGTTGGGGTTTATTTTAAACAAAATAACTGGATAAGTCCAGAGATGGAGTCGTTTCACTGGAATAATTTTTAAGTACAAGTTCCCATGAAACCATTTTATGTTAACTTTTGCTCTTTAAAAATGATATAAAAAGACACGTTTCTTGCCTGACCTTCTTACAAAAAGAGAAAAGAGTTTGTAAGTCATTGTGTCTGAGATTCTCGTCCTAGACTTCTTGTCTCCACATCAATTGTGAAAAAGGCCAAATGCCTCATTCCTGCCGTGTGACGGATCTCACGAGTGTGTGTGTGTATTTATATGTATTGTATGGGTCTACCACATCAACATTTACTTACGCTTTCATACACACTGAAACCACAGAATAAAACATTCATTGGTGAAAGGCATTTGTGACTTTTTATCTCACAATATATAAAATTATATGAAGTCGCCATTGCATGTTATACATTTTTTTTCTTCTCAGAATTGCATGTTTATATCTCGCAATTGCATCGTTATAGCACAAACTTCTGACTTATATCTCGACTTATATCTTCTTTATAAAAAGTCGCAATTATCTTTTAAAATGTTTTATTCTGTGGCGGAAACAAGCTTCCAAAGAAACGTACAGACCTACAGTATTCCCTAAAGCGTCAATTATTTGCGTATGAACAACCCGACAGACATAAATTCTTATGCATTTAATTGTCTAATCAATACAATTATTTTCAGTCTAATTTATTAAACATATCATATACTTAATGCTCTTTTTTGGCTTCTGCTCGAAGGATTACATAATGTTAAACAAGACTATACTTTAAAACCTTAAAATGAATCACATTTCTGTAATCGTTTTATCATTATTCATCATGTGATATTTATTTTGTTTGCTGTAGGACAAAAAAAGGTGTTTGCTCAGTATAGTCCTATACTGCAACTGACTTTTGAACCATAAAATGCACAAAAAATGCTAAACGTTATATATATATATATATATATATATATATATATATAAATAATTATATACATTTTATGTATATATATATATATATATATATATATATATATAGACTATATATATATATACATAGACTATATAGAGACTATATATATATATATATATATACATACGGATATATATAAAAACATAATAATGTTTGTTAAAATGCAGCCAAAACATTGTCGTTTCAGCATATATCCAAAACGTATAAAAATTGTGTTAGTGTGTTTTGTACACTTAAATATTATGTATTCCTACCAACATATTAACAGTGAGACCAGGCTGGATATGGATATAATATAAATATGAATATGGATATTCGATTTCACAAAAAAGGCGAACATTAACCCATCTAACCTTGAATTCCTCCTCTTGCTGTTATGGACTCACGTATGGTCCTCTTAAAATACAATTATTACAAAGTTTTCATCCTAAGTTCACTTGGGTCTCCAGCGGATTCAACTCAGAGCAGAGCGTTTGATCTTCTGTGCTTTGCGCTGTGTGCGATTAGCAGCAGTTTTCACTGTAAAAGACACTGAAATGGAATTAAAAGAAATGACAGATTAAAGACTGGTTTGGAAATCTGATCCCGCTAGTGCGCGCAAAGATGATGCGATTGACACGCTCGCGAGAGGCGTTATCATTTAATCACCCATGTGTTATTGTTTTTTAAACTGAAGTCAAAACTAAAATGTTCATGCTGCTTTTTTCAATACAATGGAAGCATAGAGTGACCAAAACGCACCATAAACTCTCTCTCTGTTATAGCCCAAGTCTGTTATTATTGTGCTTTTTTGGAGTTCAATGGCGTCCTCTTCACTTTTGTCCCAAAGAAAAATGAAGTCATTCAGTTTTGAACATGACAGTCAGTTGATGATGGCGTTATACATTATGAATCATTCTATGAATCCAGAATGACAGAAATCTCAATATCCTGCACTGCCCCCTACAGTCTTGGAGAGGAGTATTTCAATCAGGACACTTCTTCCACATCTTTGTTGTCTGGATCTGATCTGACCTCCATATTGTGTGACCTCTGACCCTAAAAATCTGTTTCCCCCCCCACCCCTACCCCAATACCCCTCCTTTCCCCTTGTTTTTGTATTTGTTTCTCCCTCCTGCAGTCCGGTCACTCTCATCAGCATGTGTCCGGAGCAGTACGAGTGAGTATCTTCAGTCGAGCATCAGTACAGCATGTGCTGCTCACATCAGTGCACGCGCAGAATGGCAGATCCACCCTCGCACGTCCCCTCCACCCCTTTCTGTTTTTATTTTAATCATTGTATTTTTGTCTAACCTTCTTCCTCGGTTTGTCCGTCCCAATAACACACGGCCTTCTCTGTAGATCTTCAGACACGTTATATGTTTATGGTTGATGTATTGTGGAGTGTGCTTTTGTTTATGCGTGTGTTTTTGTTTGTAGGCTATCTCCGTCGCCACAACTCCCTCATGACGACACGCACTCACAGATAGGGAAGTACGCCAGCAGGTCAGTATATCTCACCGTCTGCATCACAGTACACAAACCACACTGGTGTCATGCTGCGCCAAAGACTGAATAACACAAGACGTGCCACTCGTATTGGGAATAGTGCAACGCTGGATTTGCAGTCATCATTTTGTGTCAATATGCTGAATTTAGGTGTAAAACCATACACATATATTTTATATTGTTATATAGATTAACTATATATATATAAAACATAGTTAATATATATGAAGAGTTCAGATGCAAATAAGTGCCATCTGAAATTTTCTTCTAAAATGAATATTTTTATCAAGCTTGTATATTTAAGTTCAGTAATTTCACTTAAATGGCAAAAAAGATTACCTATTAATTGTCATTTAAGTGAAATCACTGAACTTAAGTATCGACCATTTCACAAGATGTAAACAGCACTGGTCCAGAAGCACTTCCTGTTTCACTTTTTTAACACTACATATAAGCTGGGATAAAATACAACCAACAGAACATTTAAAACTGAATCAAAAATGTTTTCTTTACATGTGAAATAAAGAAAACAGTTACAAACTGAAACAGGAAGTGCTTATGGACCAGTGTTATTTACATCTTGTGAAATGGTCTATACAAGCTTGATAAAAATGGTCATTTTAGAAGAAAATTTCAAATGGCATTTAGAGGCTTTTGCATCTGAACTCTTCATATATAGTTTTATATAATATATAAAACGATATACTTTATATATAATATATTAACTCATCAATTCAATATTTATCATTGCATATTCTGCATTATTGGACGTTTTTTAATAAACACTAACCCAAAAAAAAACAAAAAACTATGAAGTTTTAGGGCTGGAAGCTCCTCATTATGTAGCCGAATCTGTGCTGGTTTGTATTGGCCGCCTCCAGTTTTCACTTTGTTTTGCCTCCAGCTAGTAACTGTGACGTCGGCGCAAAAGGGGTCTATATTCCATGAAAATGAGCACCAATAATAACATTTTTGGACCAAACTAGTATTATTACAAGTTATTTGTATTATGAGCATTAATAATACATTAATTGATTAAAATGAAAGTAACCACTTTTAAATTGACAATAACTAAAGTGCTAATATTTTTGGTAACTTCTGAATAATTTTCTGTCATCATGAGCGTCAGTAATTGTGTGATGATTTGAGATCCGCCGCCCTCAGTCTGTCAGTGTATCAGACATGTGAAAGCGGTGACGGATGAGCAGTATAAACGCACACATGCCCCGTTAGACCTCTGGCTGTCCGCCAAAGCCAATTTAATCCGGTGCCACATAGAGTACATTAGGCGCGTATCAATTCGATTTACACCTGCTCAAAGAAAAAAGCAGAAAACATACTACGCATGCACAAATGCACCAACTGCCTCCGGTGCTGACCTTCCACACATAAAGACTCGAAAATGGATTTTCAGCGTCAGCTAGATTCTCTCAATGTCACTATCACACACACAGGCAGTTATTATGGGATTGTGAATATAGACTACGACTGAAGCCTCTATCCCATTATAGGAACTCTATGAGACTGTAATCCATCGGGACAAGTGTGTGTGTGTGTGTGTGAGAAAGCAGATAATGCTCCTCTCTCTACTCTAGCACAGAGTTGTTCAGAATTGGAGGGTCACACCCGTAGCCTTTTTTGAATTTACATTTTTATAGTTTTATATACTCATTGATCACCCAGCACATGAATAAACATGCTCAGCCATTGGACGTACACAAATCCATACCCTACCTCCGTTTAATCCTAATAAACACTGTGATGCTGTCATGTTGGTCTCATACTGGTGTCGATCTGTGCGTTCAGGTTGGCCCAGATGGAGCGCTCCAACGGCTCTCTGCCCACCGACAGCAGCTCGGCCACTGGAAGCATGTGAGTGTCCAAAACACACACACACACACAGTGTAGGAAGGCTTTATCCTAAATGCAGTTCTTTTACATTTAGATTCACATTTATGCATTTGGCAGACACTTTTATCCAAAGTCACTTGCATTTCAAGGTACACATTTACATTCCTATCAGTCCCCCCCTTTTCTTTTCAGTTCTAGGCCACGTTTGAACTGAATACGTTGGTGAAATGTTGACTTAATTTAAAAAGTGAGGAAACCCGTTGCCTTAAAATCAAGTAAATAACTTGATTCCACACACCCTAGTTTTGTTTAGTCAACTGATGTGTTTTTACAGTGTGGTAAATCAGCTTAAGGAGCTCAAACCGTCTGAGGTGTATATGATTTTCTTCTTTCAGCCGAACACACAAAGAAATGAAGGTTTTTGATGAAAACATTCCAGGATTTTCTCCATATAATGGACTTCAATGGGAACCAAACGGTTCAAGATCCAAATGAGAGTTTCAGTTGCAAACTGTTCAAAGGGCTTTAAACGATTCCAGACGATGAATAAGGGTCTTATCAAGCGAAACGATCGCTCATTTAATAAATAAATAACAAAGTTTAAGTTTTATAAGCTCAAATGCTCGCCTTGCTCTGTTCTGTGATGCACGTTCGTGACTCTCCTGTTTGAACTCGTTCATCAAAACGAACAAATCTTTTTTCGAGTCATTTCGTTCATTCAACGAATAAAATCAGTTGTGCTTATAAAACTTAGTTTTTTATTTATTTTTTAAATGAGCGATCGTTTCGCTTGATAAGACCCTTGTTCTTCGTCTGGTGTCGTTTAAAGCCCTTTGAACAGTTTGCACTGAAACTCTCATTTGGACCTTGAGCCATTTGGTTCCCATTGAAGTCCATTATATGGAGAAAATGTGAGTAAATTACGAGTAAATTATCAGCAAAAGTTTTTTTTTTGTTTGTTTTTTTAAATGAAAAGGTTAATCCAAATGTAAAAAATAGGGTAAATCCAGCATAATTAAATATCCAATAATGACCGATTCATGCAATGTATCCAATATTGACCATCTCAGAAAATAAAAAACAAAAATTAACTTAAAAAAAGTGTAGTTAAAGAGTTAGTTCAATGATTAGGGTTATTTTTATTAATTTAGAATAAAAGCCTAAATTAAATCTTTTCATCATATAAAGCGATCAAGTTTTTTTTCATAATACTTTAGACCAAACATCTAAATTCATATGGATTCGTTTTATGACCTATGAACTTTTTGAAGCGTGCATAGCTGTAAGTGGAGGGACTCCACGCTCACTCATTTAACTCTTTCCATGCCAGCATTTTTTTGTTTGTTTGTTTTTTGTTTTTTTGGCTTTTTTACCAACCCGTGTCCAGCATGTATTCTGGTGTAGAATATTTAGTTGTATGAATATCAGAGTTTTGATTTATATGCTGTTAAATGTTTGATGATCGCATTAGCTTACACGAGCGTAAGCAGTGTTGCCGTTGCTCGTTTCTGCTCCTTCGCTTGTTTTTGGATGAGGAGATTCAGCACTCTTTCTAAAGATGCATAATAGCGCCCCCTACCGCATACCAGTGAAAATATGGGTTACCTGAAAAAACTCGTTCATCACAACCATCATTGTTCAAAGCCAATTGAGAGACGTTGTGACTTTTAATGAGCAAATGTCCTCCTCTTGTTCCTCAATCACTAACTGGATATTGTCCTCTCGGAGCACGCTTCCCGTAGAGAAAGTGTGTGTGTGTGTGTGTGTGACGGTGTGGTTGCTCACTGTTTCATCAGCATAGCAACCATGACGGTAATGAAGATGGTCAGATGATACTCGGTTTTACCAGGAAGGAAAAAATTAAACGCAAGTATTTGTGACAATACCGCTGTATATATAGCGAGGTACTGTTTGCTGAAAGTGATGTTAAAATAATCTTATTAGCATCCCTCATAAATCTAATTACTTCTGCTGTCTCTTTCTCTTCCCTGTCTCTCGTTCTTCTGCTCGCTCTAAGTAGATGGAACTAATTCCATTCCTCCTGGTGTCCCGCTAACACCTTGTTTATCTCTGTACCTAATGCATTAGCACACTCTTCAACATCATATATTTGCTTGTGTGAGATGTAGAGAGAGGAAGTTTCATTAGAATGTTTGTGATGGATTGGTGTGTAATAGCATTATCTGTTGGGTTTAATTGAGTGCAGATGGGAAGAAATTCCACTTAAAAATGCCATTAAAACTCACTTGCTGGGTTTTATTTATTTATTTGTTTTTTATTTTGGGGCTTTTGCCTCATTTGTATTCTCCAGCTGTTCTAGACTTGAGAATGGGATCTGGGATGGATCATTTGTCCGACCACTGCACCCGCCCACAAAATCCCACAGGTAGACATGTATGCTGACTTGATTGGGACACGTTGCATGCCAGATTCAAACCTGAATCTCCTGTGTGAGCACCACAGCTTGACGTGTCCTGCATGTGTGCTTGAGGTGCCATGCTATTTTTAAAATGTATTTTGTTTTCGAGGTCCCTTACAATAGATTCACTTACATCCAACCTCAAAACCATCTCTTTTATCAGACTTTTTCTAAATCCCAAAGAGCCTACTCTGCTCTGATTGGTCAGATGGCCCAGTCTGTTGTGATTGGTCTACTCTGCTCTGATTGGTCAGATGGCCCAGTCTGTTGTGATTGGTCTACTCTGCTCTGATTGGTCAGATGGTCCAGTCTGTTGTGATTGGTCTACTCTGCTCTGATTGGTCAGATGACCCAGTCTGTTGTGATTGGTCTACTCTGCTCTGATTGGTCAGATGGTCAGTCTGTTGTGATTGGTCTACTCTGCTCTGATTGGTCAGATGGTCCAGTCTGTTGTGATTGGTCTACTCTGCTCTGATTGGTCAGATGGCCCAGTCTGTTGTGATTGGTCTACTCTGCTCTGATTGGTCAGATGGCCCAGTCTGTTGTGATTGGTCTACTCTGCTCTGATTGGTCAGATGGCTCAGTCTGTTGTGATTGGTCTACTCTGCTCTGATTGGTCAGATGGCTCAGTCTGTTGTGATTGGTCTACTCTGCTCTGATTGGTCAGATGGCTCAGTCTGTTGTGATTGGTCTACTCTGCTCTGATTGGTCAGATGGCTCAGTCTGTTGTGATTGGTCTACTTTGCTCTGATTGGTCAGATGGCTCAGTCTGTTGTGATTGGTCTCCTCTGCTCTGATTGGTCAGATGGCTCAGTCTGTTGTGATTGGTCTACTCTGCTCTGATTTGTCAGATGGCTCAGTCTGTTGTGATTGGTCTACTCTGCTCTGATTGGTCAGATGGTTCAGTCTGTTGTGATTGGTCTACTCTGCTCTGATTGGTCAGATGGTCAGTCTATTGTGATTGGTCAACTCTGCTTTGATTGGTCAGATGGCTCAGTCGGTCTACTCTGCTCTGATTGGTCAGATGGTCCAGTCTGTTGTGATTGGTCTACTCTGCTCTGATTGGTCAGATGGTCAGTCTGTTGTGATTGGTCTACTCTGCTCTAATTGGTCAGATGACCCAGTCTGTTGTGATTGGTCTACTCTGCTCTGATTGGTCAGATGGCCCAGTCTGTTGTGATCAGTGATGGGAATAACGGCGTTATAAAATAACGCCGTTACTAACGGCATTACTTTTTCCAGTAACGAGTAATCTAATTGATTACTCTTCTCATCTTAACAACGCCGTTACTGTTACTGACAAAAATGCGTCGCGTTACTATAACAACTGATGAAGCTGTTGTTTTTTTTATCAGACCAACTAGATCTCTGAGCGAGAGGCACACTTTTTTACTGTTCTTCCATTGAGCACGAGACAAAGCGCATAAATGCTGACGATTGGCTGAGGTAGAGTAAACTGTCACTGTAAGCCAATCAGAGGTAGAGTTGGGCGGGTGTTCTAAAGCACGCATAGTAGTGATGAGCATTCGGCTCTTTTGACTCAGCTCTGAAAAGAGCCGGCTCTCTAGGCTCACAAACGGCTCTTTAAATGACTTTGACTATAATATTTCACTTTTTATTATATAATTATTTAATTTCTATAGGCTAAATTTGTAAAAATAGAGTCGGCTCTTCAGATATGCGAGCCAGCTCCCGACGTTCAAATAAAAGAGTCGGCTCATTCGCGAATCGCGAACGACCCATCAAAAGCTCATTCGCGAACGAGTCGATCCATCATCACCTACGCTCCTCCGCGAACGACCCATCATCACTATCGGCTAACGCTCATGAATTGCGAACGACCCATCATAACGCATAGTCGGACAGGAATAACGGACACAAGGAATAACACAAGCCAGTCAGTCAACGAGAGACAGGTATGCCGACGAGCCCAAATAATCCAAAAGTAGCCTTCTCTAAATGGTATTGCTTATGTTAAGTTTTCATTTCCGTCTGTCATGTCCATGCACAATATGTTGCGATGATAAATCCTCTAAAGAACAATCCAGATACAATTTCTCAGTGTTATTTATTTGTTAGTTTTCATCTCAATGCGCTGGCATAACATCAGTGAGCGAGGGAGCAGCAGCACGACATTCATCTCAAGGAAGGAACACAAGTTGAGTCAAAATAAAAGTCCCCATTTGTTCACACATGCGCACAATGAACTCTTGCACATTTTTAGTAACAGTAAATAGCATAAAGTAAAAACAAAATAACAGTAAGAAACATAAAATAATATAGTTCATGAGAACATATAACTCAACAGCTTAACAAACTTAATTTAATTTTCCCCAGTTGTGAGGGGCAATAAATATCAAAAGTTCCCAAACATCTATTGTGTTATTTGCATTGATCCACTATATAAACATAATATCTACATACATGGCATTTGATTGGAGGCTAGTCTCACTTTGTCCCACAGCAACATTTTTTTTTAGATGTGTGTACAATGTTTCATGTTTCTGTTAATGTATTGTATTAAGCGTCCATTTCATTATAAAATTCAGATTTTTCATAAATAATTGAACATGCACATGTGTTTTAGTTCCGTTAAATAGGG